TGCACTTCGAGGTTCACAAAGTACTGCGCCTGCCACGAAGTCCGCTCTTCGAGGTTCACCAAGTGCCGTGCCACAAACTCCGCGCCTCGAGGTTCACAAAGTGCTGCGCCTGTCACGAAATCTGCACATCGAGGCTCACAAAGTGCTGTGCCTGCCACGAAATCTGCACTTCAAGGTTCACAAAGTGCTGTGCCTGCTACGAGGTCTGCACGTCGAGGTTCACAAAGTGCTGCACCTGCCACGAAATCTGCACGTCGAGGTTCACAAAGTGCTGCGCCTGTCACGAAATCTGCACTTCGAGGTTGACAAAGTGCTGTGCCTGCCACGAAATCTGCAAACGAGCCACATGCCGAAAAGCTGCGATTCAGTGCACCTGTCACAAGTTCAGAGCTCGTCGAAGATCACCACCATGTCCAAAGTGCTGCGCCTGCCGCGAAATCTGCATGTCAAAGTAAAACCGCTCCGATCCCTTGCGCCTGTCATGAAAAGTCGACTTTCGACCACGAAAACACGAGGCCTTGCACCTGCCGCGAAAAGTGACCATCATGTGCGAAAATGTGCACGGCACCACAACGAGAGCGCAGTCGCTAGAAGCACCCGCCCATGCAGATTTCGCGAGCCTGCGCAGTCGAAATGCACTTCGAGGATTTCGAGAGGCATGAATGTACTGTAAATAGCAGTGAATTAGCCGTTGACGTCGGCGCGCTTCAGCGACCTAAGCATCAGCTGCTTTACTCCTACCGTAAGAACCCCTAAGTGTGCCCACGCTGTTTGGCGAATGAAACATCTTCTTATGCCAGGACCCTCCAAGAAGCTGTTTGGAGACCCTAACAGGTGGTGTCTGGGCACCTGTTGTTGTCACCAGGAAGCACCTGTTTGTTTGTTTCCGTCCATCTCGATGGGTTTTGCAAACAGAGACGGCGTGGCAAATCACCGGAGTTCTTCAGCTCGTCCTGGATTGATCCTGACGAGTTTTCAGCACCCTAAGCCCTAAACTTTTAATTTCATGCTACAGCTAAAGCATCTCACAAGCACTCTCTAGACAGGATGGGAAAAGGATCTGTTAGCTCTGTTGCTCCAATCACTTCCCACATCCCTCCCCCATTCCTTTTCGGTTAACTCTCTTCCTCCGTGAATTCCTTGGGGAATCCTCCGTGAATCGATGCGGTGCCTTTTTCGGTACCGAGGATCGATCCATTAGGAAGGCTTGAAGCCGATCTCCCAGCATCTTCAATCCATTCTCAGCCTGATTGGAACGGACCGGCATTCCCTTTTTTACCAGACCTGGGGGGTTCAAGGTCGTCGTAGGTCGTCGTTTTCGGTCTGTTTGGGGGGGTCCAGTCGGAGCGCGGGGGGGAATGGAATCGAAGGAACATGGGGGGGAGCTCCAATTGAGGGAAATAGAGTCGAGTCAATGGGACCTACGAGACGGTCTTCATCGACTTCACTTCTTGGCCTAATGACCCAGCGTAGCCGTCGTCTGGGATTCTCTATTCAGCTGCTTCCGACTCCTCAACGTCTCATGTCTCGACTTCCTCGAAAAAGGCCACGACATCCATGGTGGAGTTGCAGCCAAGCAAGTCCAGTCTGAACTAGACGACAGGGTGGCCCGAAAGCAAGTAGGCGGAAGAGAACAAATAGAAGGGAAGAAAAGCGAAGTAACAGAAGATGAATGAGCACTAAAGAAATGAAGAGATGATATATGATGATTCAAAACATTAAGATGAAACAAAATGAGATGATGATGAGATGACACAATATATAATATATATATATATCTATATATATATATATATATACATTATGATTATGATACTATTATCACGTTATTACCAAATCTATTAATGTATATTCTGTTGCACTGTACTTCGGAGCCCAAACGGTAGTCCCGGTCGATTCTTTTTTATCCAGCGCCGGTCGAGCTCAAACGCTAGTCCCGGTAGTAAGAGCCGCCGAAGTGTGCGAAATCGCACGTCCCAACCTGGCATCAGGACAACCAATGCTCATACAAATGCAACACTTGAAAAACAAAACAAATTACCCACAGTTCAACTCATGTTGTTTTGTCGGTTATCAGATATAGTTGCACACCCAGTCGGAACAGGATCGACTTCGAACAACTCTCGGTCGTGGATCTCGTGCCTTGTGGAGTCTCTGCACGTTCAGCTGGAACAAGGGTCGACTTCGGACAACTTCCGGTCGTGGACCCAGGTCCTTCTAATCAGTTTGGTCACGACACTTTGCAATAGCCAATTCACAGCTTTTCGCCGATACTTGTAACTTCGTGGCTGGTGACTATATGTGGCATCGACATGCCGGCCTCCTGGAATTCCATTGCGTGGTGTCCACTTTCATTTGGTCCCACTTGTTGCCGCTCAACCTGTTCAAAAGACTCAATGTCTCTGGAAACGAAACTGGTCTTTCAGGTCAAATCACAACAAGCAAAGAATATCATTCAAGTCCAACAATCGAACAAAAAAAAGATGTCTATAGAGCTCTGTTTGCACAATTTTATCGGTTATCAGGTATATTCGCGCACCCAGTCGGAACAGGATCGACTTCGAACAACTCTCGGTCGTGGATCCCGTTCCTCATGGGGTCTCTGCACATTCAGTCGGAACAAGGGCCGACTTCGAACAACTTCCGGTCGTGGACCCAGGTCCTTCTAGCCAGTTTGGCCACGAATTCACAGCTTTTTGTCGACACTTTGGTCACGACGTTTCAAATTCCCAACGCCAGGCATGCTTGTGATGCTCCAAGGATCGCAGCGCATACAAGACATATGCTCGTCGCTTCCACGGTCTCAGGCTTGGACGCTGCTGGAGCACACAGTCAATGGCATCCTCGACACTGAGATCCCACCAGATCACCAGCCAGGCGCAAAGCGCGGCGGTACTGCGATTGATGCCTCCAAAGCAATGAAACAAAGGCGTAAACCTGATGTCGTGGTTCCAGTAGTAGGAGGCCACATCCCAAAGAACATGCATCAAATCTTTCCAGAAAGCTAAACATTCACCGGCAGACTGACGATGCTTCGCCAGCTCTGTATTTGGGTCTTTGACTGTGGGATCCTCGATGAACCACCAGATATGTATAAAGATACGTTTCGTTCATGAACCCTACCGACCACACGGATCGGATTCTGCCGACCGTCGATCGAGAATAAGCGAGTCCACTTGCCTTCGAGCCATACGACACAAAGGTCAATGATGCTGATCATGTTAAAAGCTGTCACCGTCATGATGATGCCAACAAAGGAAAAAATTCAAGCAGCTGTAACAACAAATCTGATGCTGATCATGCTAAAGCCGTCACCGTCATGCCGATGCAAACGACGGAAAAAATCCAATCAGCTACAATAACACATCGAGTCAGCTGGGTCTATTTCAAGCCAAGTATACAAATACAACACAACCTGAAACACATGTAACTCTCATGCCGTGAAAGAAAATATGACATGACATCAAATATGAAAATATGATGTGCCATGAGATGATGATCTCACGATACGCCCGTGATATGCTATTGTGATCAAGAGCTAACGATGAGGTCGATGACGATTGCAATGACGTAGCTGCTGGTGATGATGATGATGATGATGATGGTGCTGACGACGATGATGATGATGATGATGTGGATGATAAGGATGATGATGATGATGATGATGATGCTGATGATGATGATGATGAAGGTGATGATGATGATGATAATGATGATGATGGTGCATGTCGCCAGGCACGGTTTACACCACACGTTGTTTACGCCAGACGAAGTAACCATGGAAAAGTTTACACCAGACAAAGCCGACAAAGGTTTACACCAGAGAAGAGTTTACACCAGACATCGATTACACCAGACACCGTCTATACACCAGACACGGTTTACACCAGACGTCGTTTACACCAGACAAGGCCAACAAAGGTTTACACCAGAAAGAGTTTACAGCAGAGACAGTTTACACC